AAATTATGGTACATTTGTACAGTGTAATATGCTATATGGTAGTTTATATATGAAGCCAGGCACGGTGGCTCACACCTATAATCCCAGTGCTTTGGGAGGTGGAGGCAAGAGGACTGCCTGAATCCAGGGATTCAACACCAACCTGGGCAATTTAGAAAGACTTCATCTCTACAAAAAAAAAAAAAAAAAATTATGTATGGACATGAAAAGATACCAGAAGCACACTGAGTAAGGCAAAATGCAGAAACAGTAAATACAGTATGATTTTGTAAAAACAAAACAAAACAAAAACACATAGAATTCATTAAAAATGGGGAGAAAAAAACCCAGTATATACCTGTTAATACGTAGGGAAAATTGCAGCATCTATTTGTCATGTATACATTTCTATATTGATTCTGAGTTTTTCCCCCTATAGGTTGCTACTTTTGTAATTGAGAAAAATGATAAATTAAAAATGAGATCATAGGCCAGGCTCGGCGGCTCAGCCTGTAATCCCAGCACTTTGGGAGGCCAAGGCAAGTGGATTGCCTGAGCCCGTGGGTTTGAGACCAGCCATGCAACTTGTTGAGACCTCATTTCTACAATAAATCAAAAATTAGCCGGGGGTATAGTTCCAGCTACTTGGAAGTTGAGATGGAAGGATCATCAGAGCCCAGCAGATTGAGACTGTGGTGGCCGGGAGTGTGCCACTACACTCCAGTCTGGGCAACAGAGTAAGACTCCAACTCAAAAAAAAAAGAGATAATATAGTGAAAAATTTAAAGAGGTAATTGGCTATCTTGGTTGGCACTACTTCAGAGGTGTTTGGGTGAATGGACCAAGAATTAAAGAGTGAATGGGCCAAGCACTGTGGCTCATGCCTATAATCCCAGCACTTTGAGAGGCCAAGGCAGAAGTATTGTTTGAGCTCTGTAGTTCAAGACCAGCCTGAACAGCATAGCAAGACCTCTTCTCTACAAAATTCAAAAAATTAGGCCAGGCGCAGTGGCTCACGCCTACAATCCCAGCACTTTGGGAGGTCGAGGTGAGAGGATTGCCTGAGCCCATGGGTTTGAGACCAGCCCGGTCAATTTGGCAAGACCTCACCTTTACATTGAGTCAAGAAAAATTAGCCAGGCATGCCTGGGCAACTTGGTGAGACCTCATCTCTACAATAAATCAAAAAGTTAGCTGGGCATGGTTACATGCACCTATAGTTCCAGTTACTTGGAAGGCTAAGGTGGAAGGATCACCTGAACCTAGCAGGTCAAGGCTGCAGTGGCCGTGAGTGTGCCACTGCACTTCAGCCTTTGTGACAGAGTGAGATTCCAAACCAAAAAAGAAAAAAGAAAAAAATTAACCAGGTATGGTGATGCATGCCTGTAGTCCTCACTACTTGGGAGGCTGAGGCAGAAGGATTACCTGAGCCCAGGAGGTTAAGTCTGCAGTAGTGCTACCACTGCACTTTAGCCTGGGCAACAGAGCAAGACCCTGACTCAAAAAAAAAAAAAAAAAAGTGAATGGAAAGGTGATAAAGTGGAAATAGCAACCACAGCCTGTGCTTTCAGGACTTAACTGTGAAACAGAGGAGACAGCAAAGCTAGAGGGAGGATTACTGTTTTGTTGTGACAAACTTCTTGTAACAAACTTCTTATGACAACATTTTTTTAGATTGGAAAATAGAGTTTATTTTAAAAAGTAAATGAGAGAGAGAGGAGATTCACCTCTCCAATGTAGAGGAGGAGGCCAAAGCTTAGGAAAACATGGCCCAGCCACGTGACTGGACCAAGGCTTAACAAAAGCATGTCCTGGCTAATTTTTTCATAGTAGAGTTATTCAAGTTCTCATGTAGTTTCCCCTAATGTTAACATCTTTCATAACTCTGGTACATTTCTCAAAACTAAGAAATTAGCATTGGTACAACGCTATTAACTGTGGACTTTGTTTACATTTCACCAGTTTTTCCTCTTGTGACAGAGCATTGCTTTTAAGATCCCCTTGACTTGTAAAAGTCTAAATTGTCTCCTTTTGAAGAACGGGGAAATTTTCACATAAATTTATGAAGTAACCGACCAGGCTGAAGAGTACCTACATTTTACTATGGAAAGCAATTTAGAGAAACATTGGGGAACAAATTTGTTCATTCCCTTTCTTGGAGCTAAACTTCCAGGTAGTCCACAATTCCAACTTTCCTGCTGTATCCTCTCAAACATCCTTCCGTTTTTATTTTTTTTTATTTTTTTGAGTTGGAGTCTCACTCTGTCGCCCAGGCTGGAGTGCAGTACCATGCTCACGGCCACCGCAGCCTCCACCTGCTGGGTTCAGGTGGTCCTTCCACCTCAGCCTTCCAAGTAGCTGGAACTACCGGGGTGCATGACCATACCCAGCAAGTTTTGTTTTTTGTTTTTGTTTTTTTTTTTTTGAGTTGGAGTCTCACTCTGTC